GCGGCGCCCGGGGGGGCTGCGGGCGCTCGGTGCGCGGCGTGCGCGGGAAGCGGCCCCGGCGGGACAGAGCTGCACAGCCCCGAGTCCGGCGGCGGCCCGGCCGCCGAAAAAGCCAACAGGTACCCGGGCAGCGGGCGGGATGCGCTCGGTGGGGAGCGGGCAGCCGGGGCGCTGCTCGGGCCCGGCCGCCGCGGGGCTCCGCGGTCACGGGCCGCGGCGGGTGCGGTGAGCTCCGGGGAGCTGTGCCTCCTCCTGAGAGCGGCTGAGCCGGGCTCAGGTAGCTGAGATGGGTGCTTCAGCTAAAGACTGTTTAGCAGTACCAAAACAGAAATATCCGAAATAACGTTTTTCGTGAGATTCGGAAATTTGCTAATTTATTTTTTTAATCTAACGAAGAGTTAAAGAGCTCTAATGTATGCAGCGTTGGACAGGCTTGTGAAGTTACCACGCAATACTTACACTTATGTAATGATTTATATAGTAAGAGTACGTTACTAATGACACTGTCAGCTGGAAAAGTTACTAAGAAAATGGGGCTCATATTTCATCTGTAGGATTAGAATCTGTGATTTGAGGATACTGACTGCTTATTTTTCAGTCCGTGAAATAAGCAAATGTGAGGAGAGGGAGATTTTGTCTGTTAACCGTTCTGCTGCTGTTGAAGTCAACAGCTAAAAAGTATGACGAGGACTCCGAAGTCACGAGGCATGACATCTTTGCATCAGGTGTATTTTGAGGACCTCATGGTTCCCCGAGATGCTTATAACCAGGTACAGCCTTCAAGGCTAGAAAACCTTAGCGAGATCCAGAATCAGCATTTATTAATTATTTTAATACCTGTGTTATTTAGCAAATCTAGAGTAAACATCATCTTATGTTTAGTTGCCAGGCATCTTAGCAAGCTGAGTGGTTTCAATATGACTTTGCCATCCATGACATGGAGTTGGGAAGGGGGAAGGTAGAGAAGAACTTCAATTGCAAAGAAGTGAGAAAGATACAACAGGAAATTCAGTGAATGAGAATTAGGACATACCTGGATATTACATGACTCTCCAGCCATTCCCATGAATTGTTAGTTTAGGGAGTAATTTTAATTGGGTAGTAATGAAAAAATCTACACCAGAATTCTCTGGTGAAGTTTAACCTCTGTTTTACAGTGAGCAGCTGAATTGGAGCCAGTCACACAGAGATATGATGATGATGATCCAAGAAATGAAAAGGTGTTTGCCTGAAGAGAAAAGGATTTCTAACAAGCCCAGTACCATCAGTGCTCTCAACTATGCCTTGCAGTGTGTCCAGCAGGTCCAAGGTACGTGTGGAGAAAGCCTGGCAGAACAGCTCGGTGTGCACAGATGTGTCTGGCAACAAGTAGCATTAAAAGAATGCATTCCAGTTACCCTGCAGAGTTGACTTCCTGAAGTGCTGTAGTTTTGTTGCCAGTTTTGTTGTTAAACAACAGTGTTATCTCTTCTGTTGGGATACCCCCTACTGCTTCTCTTTTCTTCAGTCCCATAGCTGAGAGGTGCCCAATAGTAACTTTCTATGTATATTTTAAAAATGGTATTCCCATGCCACTTTGAAAAATTATTGGTTAGTTTGTGTTTTCCCACAGAACTAAGTAGCTAAAATTGTACTACTTGTTCATGCTTGTATTCTGTAACAAAATGAGATTACTCCAGTAGTATAATCAGTATTCCTTTTCCCTTTGTCACTACACAGACCTTCTCATCTCACCTTGGACTTCACCAAAAAGATGACAAAAGTACAAGGGCTGTAAGAAATATTTTCAAAGTAGTCTCCTTACTGACTTCCTTGTGTTTGTTTTGCTTTTTCTGTTTTGTTTTTTTTTTTTTCAATTAGCAAACAATGACTTTTTCCAGGCTCTGAATGACCGAAGAGTGTTTCAGGCAGATGTGGTGACATACAGCATAGAAGAGTTGGTGGCAGTTGCATCTGAACACACTCCAAAAAACACTGTAAGAATTCAGGCACACTCAAGGAGTTCATTCAATTTCACTAAATTTAGTCTCCTAACATTGTTTTGTGGAAATAAAATGTGTAAAATTGAAAGGCCTTTAAATTTTAGCCAGACAGACCTTCAGGTTTTTAAAGATAATCAAGATTACATCTTATCTGTGCTGTGTCAGTACCCAATGATAGTGAGTGAAGAAATACTAATTTTTTTTTTTTTTTTTTTTTTTTTTTTTTTTTTTTTTTTTTTTTTTTTTGGGCCAGAAGCAACAAGTAGCTCTTTGAGAATTCGTTTACAGCAGAGTAATCTCTTGAGATAGCAGCAAGTTTTTAAAACCAATCAGATCCATAGTTGTGAGGGACTTTTGGTTTCTGTTTGTACTCTTATTTAATTTTTTTTTCATGTTTTGCAATAGATGTTATGCTTTCTGACTCTGCTTTAAAGGAGTGTTTCTTGAAATTCAGTACTGTTGGGTGCTGTGTCAAAAGTATTGCTAATGTTGAAAAAGTACAAAAAAATTTGTGGAGGAGTGTGTGGAGTGGTAACCAGTCATTCAGAGCAAAGACAAGCATTAATCTGTTTTGAGAAGACTAATGCAGTCTTACTAGCATTTGTAAATCTTGAGTACACTGCTGCAGCACTGGAGAGTGTAGTAGATCACACACTACCCAAGACATTTTTGAACCTCAGCCTGAGGCTGTGGTGGTTTGGGGTTGGTAGGTTTGTTTTGGCGTTGTTTTCCTTTTTATCTTTACGTTATCACTGCCTTGTTTCAGGCAATGATTGCCTTTCGTGTTTGTTTTCCAGGACACGTTTGTGGCTGTATTTTCTTTGCTGTCTGGACGCATAGTGCATATTTCTGAGCAGGCAGCATCTATCCTGAACTGTAAGAAGAAAGTGTTGGACTCCTCCCGGTTTGTGGAGTTGCTGGTCCCTCAGGATGTGAGTGTGTTCTACACACACACTGATCAGTCTCACCTGCCCCTTTGGAACATGGAAAGTCAGACAGGTGGGACATGGCAATGCTTCTAAATGCTCTGTGTGTCTTTCCTTGCAGAATGAGGACAGAGTAGTAGTTCATTTTAGATGCAATGTGCATCAGCCTCATTTGTTCCTTTCCACTTTGAAAACTGGAGTGGCTGTGGGACCAGTCCTAGCTAATCTCCCAAAGGCTTAACTCTTACTTGGGGTAAATAAAAGGCACGTACTTCATAGTTTCATGTATCATCTTACTCATTCCAAATACTGCTGCTTTTTTGAAAAGAAAGTAAGTCTGATTGTGAGCTTGAAGTTGTTTAATCTACACCTTATGGTTGCTTAGGTGCTTTGTCTTTATGGCCCCCTCACTGCCTGCTGTGAGCACAGCTCATGAAACCCAAGTTTTAAGCTGATTTGCTATTTAGTGCTGGATGTGTCTGAACTGAGACTTTTGAGTCCTGTGTTATTTGTGAGCAGCTCACACGTAGCTTGCAGGCCAAGGCTGTGTCTTTTGCCCACCTTGACATGGGGCTGTTCTGGCATCAGTTCTGAGAAGTCCAAAGTCCTTGGTATCAAAGGATATGAGACATCTGGAGGTTTTGAATGCCAGGGATTCCACAACTTGGATGCCAGTGATGTGCCTACCCAGCAGAGCAGTGGCACCCCAGTGGAGTTGTGGTTTTCTTGTCTGTATGTAGTTTTTGGTACTTGGCTCATAAAGCCAGGAAATATTACCTTTCCTTTTCACAGTGGTGCACTGGAGGAAGTTTTTTTGGAGCATTGATTGGTTGGTTGATTTGTTTGTTTCCTTTTTTTTTTTTTCTTATGCATTTCCTCTGAATTTAGTTCCACATCAGCAATTTCTCTAATAGAGTGGACTCTCACTTTGAGAGAAAGGAGAGATAACATTTGAGGTGGGATCAGACTGTTGAACAGACAATTCAGTAGCTAATAAAGAGTAGTTTGTGAAACTTCAGTTTTGCTCAGAAAGTTTGGAGAATTGAAAGAGCAGAGTTTAACAGTTCTGATGCATGTGACCTTTTGAAAGATAGTAACTGATACTTTCAATGTGCTCATCTTATTAGCTTCTCCATATGAATATGCCCAGGTGAAATCCTTTTTCTGCAGGATCAGGTAAGTGCATTATTACAGCTTTATTTTTGTGAAGGCTGACAAGGGGTACAGTACTAGCAGAAACTGCTCTGTTGTTATAGCTGACCAGTGTGAGCTCATGACACTCCATTACAAAATGGCCTTTCTGTGATTAATGCTGTCATCCAGTAGCACATTTTGAACATCTTGCCCAGAGTGATGCATAAGCTTGCACTGGGACAGAAGGAAAACT